GGGAGGTGCAGTGAAAAATATTTATTTCTCATGCAATATGGAGTAAATGTGAAATGTAACTAGGTTAATGAGATCTAGAAATGTCACTGGATAAAATATATGCATTGTATTAATTGGGCAAAAACAAAATACATGCTGCGGTGTAAAATATTTATTCCTTGTACAAAATGTAGGCTGCAAAGCAGTAAATTTAACTGAAATGTAACTAGGTTAATGAGATCTAGAAAAGTCACTGGATAAACAATGTTACAACAGTCACACATGAATCAAATCATACACAAATTAGGCTACATTGAATTGACAGCTGGCAACTGAGTGAAGGTAAAAACTAGAAAACTAAAAATTCATCCATGGTTAAAAAGACAGCAAACTGTGTGATGTTCATTTGATTGCAAACAAAGTATGTGATCATGCTACGAATAATGAGACAGGTTTCTAGAAAAGACATTCAGGTGAGAGTGATGAGCAAAATCATTAATAAGTATCAGGTTTCCACAAGAATTAACTATTCACTCATTATTGTCTTTTTTTAATAAGTGATAGAATTATGCAAATATTTATTATATGAGGAACTCCACAAAACAAAATTAGTAAGCTGCCTTCTTACATATCAGGTTTTGTGAATTCCAATTACTAAAAAGAAAATCAACCATAACCATAAGCAGAAACACAGGGTCTCACCACATTTTGGTATCTGAGAAAATTATATATTATTTTTATTAAAGCTTTCGCACGCTTGATATTTGGATATAAGCAATTAGTTCAATACCCAATGCATATATTTATCAAAATACATTTCAATACTCAAGGACTTAAAGTGGCAAGAGAGTGTACTAGAAACAGAGTTTAAATAATTCAGTTGTAAGAGTGGCAGTTTGCTTTATTACTTTTAACAAAAAGTCAAAAAGATCACTGGCAATCGGAAAGCGTACAGTGTAGCTACAACCCTTGATGTATTTTCCTGGAATCATGAACATTTGGTTCAACAGATGTGTCAATCATAATTAATCACATCATTACAGTTGGGCTAGCACTGGCCCCATGGGAGCTGATACAAGTTTACTGCAAGTATCGATATAATGCAACTTGATCAATTTGCAATTATAATTTATAAGTTCTGTTTTATTAATCACTAGAGTAATGAATAATATATCTTGCAATAAAATATCTTCATTATTCTACAAGTACATTATTTTTGTTAATACTGTAAACAGGGAAAAAATGTGTGAATTTGACAACATTTTGTAGCAATGACATCTCTGAGAGTTGATTTATCATGAAGTCATGATGAATTGCAAGGAATTTAGTCAGCACATGGAAATGCCCCTGAATGGCAAGAATTTTTTGTGGTTTACTGTGCGTACCTCATACTGATTGATTCAGTGGATGTAGTAATTTATGTAGAGTATTCTAAATATTAAGATATATCAAATAGTTTTGTATATATTACATAAAGCTCTGTGTGTACATTTACATGTCATGAACTGGCGCTTTATACTCAAGGGAGCATAGAAATGGGTCATCCTTCAATAGTTTTAAAGTAATGAAATTTGATAAATTAATTGACACAAACTTATAAAAAGTGACAGAAATAATTATACATACAATTATAGTTTTATACACTATGTACAACAGCATATATCCACTATGTCAAATACAAACACCTACTTAGATTTATACCTGCTCTAAAATACTTCAGACATCTACAGATCTCTAACAGCATAAGTTTGACAAGACACTATCACAACATAGCTAATCTATTCTAATTATAAGAATTGATAGACTAATTAAGAAACAGACTGACTAAATTATTCATTATATTTTAATTAAAAGTCAATACCGTTCTCAGGATATAGCATTTTTACCAATATGAGACACTAAATAAGTAATGTGAATATCAAAATGTTCAAAATTCAGTAACTGACTGCATTGGAATTACAAAATATAATTTTGTAGTAAACCAAGATTTCACTATAAAAGTGTGTATATATTACTGTGATCCTTTTAACACCATCATTAACATTAACATTCTTGATAACCCTATACAAAATATTTCTGTTTTGACTTTATTTTCACTACATGTATTTTATTTTTATTTATTTTTAATATTTAATTTTATTCACTTAGACCAAAATTATTTAGTCCTGAAAATTAAGAAGTCATCTTTTGTTACTTGTTACTGAATAAACCGGCTTAATTTTTGAAATTTTTAAAACTAAAAACAAATTGTTTAAGACCAATAACCACTCTGAAATTACGTCCATTACATAAAAATGTTGAAAATTGTGGAACCAAGTAGTAGGCAGAAAAGTGAAATGAATACTTACCGAAGTCACATAGCTTGAGGGTTCCATTATTGCTAATTAGAAGATTTTCAGGTTTAATATCTGAAAAGGAAATTATTAATCACCAAGTTCAGTAACTTTAAACTAAGTACACTAAATAATATTTAACAAAGCTTTCAACCAAATTACACTTTATTAATAATGTTTTTTGATTGCTTCTGGGTAGGGGTGGAAGTAGGGAATTTCATTAAATGATACTGAATTTACTACTGCATTAATGATGAAGCGGAACTAACATGTTTTCAATGGTGCAGGAAACAAAGATTGCCAGCGCCTGATAAATCTTTTACAAGCATATGATGTTGAAAGATTCAAAAGCTATTATCGCATTGGATTAAAATGAAAAATTATAATGTAACTAATCTACCATGCGATCTGAATGAATTTCATGTCACATGACGGCGATACTTGATTCCTATTGGATGGTACAATAATCACATGATGTCAGCCATGTTATATGACTGTGTTTAAATTAATTTCTTGCAAATACTCATCATTTCAGAGGAGGATAAAACGTATCATAACTTTATACTACAAATTTGTCAACATTCAGAGTGCAGATGACACAAGTCATGAGTGATCAAAAACAGGAAGATATGGTCATTCATCTCACTTGAAAAATGATGAGTTGTCAGCTACACACACACATCACCCTGTAGTGGTTCACATGGGAATGAAAATATATTGGAGTACATAACATTCTACATTGGATGGGTATACTGTGAGTGGGGTAAAAAATTTATTTATGTAAAAACCTCCTAGAGTGAAAATAAATATTCTTTTGACAGCGAGAAACCCAAGGAATGGAAATTATTGTGCATTTCACCTGTGGTTTAGGTTTGGTAGATGGAGAGTGACATGTTAGCTTTTTATAATTTGCAAATCTGAAAATGACGTCACTTTGCGAGTGAGAATGAAGTAGACATTGGAGAATTAGGCTTGGATTAGGGGGGAAATCAAACTATAAGCACACTATGAATTGAACTGGGACACCAAACAGTTGTACATCTGCTTGAAGGAAATTTGGAAGAGGAAACTATATACATGTATATGATGAACTTCTCACCTCTATGAATGATGTCATTTGAGTGGCACCAGTGTATTGCCTTCACAAGTTGAAAGATGTATGATCTGCAATAAAAAAGAGATTATTAAATTTAATCAAAAATGTATAATCCAATGATTATGTGGTTACAAGTGAAGCACTGTATGATTTGGTTATTGAATATCAACTATTGCATGTGTGTCTATGTGTGTGATAGTAAAGGGCTTAACCCTCTGACCGCTAGATATTTTGCCACCAAAAATTCAGCATAAATCGTTACACATTTTACAAAATTTTCTTTAAATTTCCACATAATTTTGAATCATACAGACAGTATTAAACTAAAATTATTGTATACTTTTTGATTTTAACATTTGTCAATTTTTATCAAGATTTCATTCCTGGAACAGACTGTACAGAAAAATGTTAATAATAATAATAATGTTCATAGGCGCTTAACAATATAAAAGAGATAAAGTTATAAACAAACAAAATAAAATCAAAAACTACTGAGTATTAAAAGTCTGTCTAAAAAGATGAGTTCTAAGTTTCTTCTTAAAAATTGTCAATATTGTCTGAGAGTTTGATATGTAGGGGTAGTTCATTCCATAAGGCAGGAGCAGCATGGCAGATGGCTCGATGATCGACAGATTTGGTATTAGTTTTTGGCACGTTGTGGATGGTGCAACAATTTAACAATGGAGCTGTGCTGAAAGGGTTAATGTCAACACTACTCTGGATGGGCAGCGACAGCTTATTTGGGCAGAGACATATTTATATTTTAGCACAAGTTGGAACCAATTATCAATGGAATACTGTAAAATACTTTATCTTAGCTGGAATTAATTTTTTTTTGGGTGTTTTGTATGGAATTTATTTTCACTGATTTTGGATGAGTTGAATGTAAAATATAGGAAAAAAGGTATATTCGCTGGATTTTATTTTCACTGAATCATTCCTTCAGCGAAAATACTAGTAGCAAAAAAATTGAGTCCAAGTGACTGGTATTCACTACAGTAAATGGGCGCCATTTTGAATGAACCGCGAAACAAAATGACATACCAGTAATGTTTTTAAGAATGACATATTGTGGAATTGTATAAATTTAAGCTAAATTTAAGATTACCTCTTCATTTTAACTGAATTCTCATTGATAATGTAAAGGGTAGACTACACCAGCAGTAAAGATTGAGCTCCACCCCCTCCCTCTCTAAATCTAGAACTAAACACCAAAACTCATTGAAATTATATGTTTTTCTTCAAGGTATTAAAGTTTATCAGCAGACTTCTCAATGTAAATTACCCTCAGTATTAACAAACAACCATTAACTGACGTTTTCTACTGCTAATCACATCTTTCAAAAAACATTTTAAGAGCTACAAGATATTTTATGAGGAATTAAGATTAACAGTTGAATCAAAACTTGTATACAAGGCAGAATTTGATACACGTTGAAAACCAACAAATAAGCTACTCTCTGATTGGTCTGACTGTCAGGTGTTAGGGTTGGATAGCCAATTAGACACAATGTTGTAAGTAGTCTCGCACTGTTTTGACTTTGAATTTAAACAGGTAGTATGTAATATTCAAACTCCTGTGTGTGGTACAACATGCTATTATGACACACAAACAGTTCTAGAAAGACTGCTGACAAAAGATAATAATCCTCAGAAAAAGTACTTAACAAGTCATTGTTATGTCACAGTCCCTCTGTTTTTATACTTTAATATACTGGTACATGTATGACAAATGAAAGGTCAGTATTTTTTGCTCTTTTTTGAACAAGTGCATGGACCTTCTATGCTGTTAACTAAATATCTTAGACTGCCAGACAATTTAACATGTGTTACTTTTTAATGTCTGTGTAGCAAAATGTAAAACAAAATGGCTGCTAGTCTGCCATCTTGCAAATTAAAACTTGCATTAGTATCTAGGGTATATTTCAATCATAGCAACAGCTTTGTTCAGTTTATATGTCACAGATGGTATGGCCTTATACATGTGATGTCATTAAAACTTAACTTCTCCTCCTGGCAACCATCAATCATGATGAAGTTAATTTGTAAGCTACAAGTATCAACAAATTATTTTAGGAAGTATGACTTATTAATATTAAAAAGAATTTAAATAATACACACAAAACAAGTTTTTGGAATATTAATATTGTGCAACAAGTTTCATTCACTGGAACACACTAAAGTTTTGTCAAACATGGTTAATGGGTATGCAAATAAGACACTAATTATGCACAGATTTGGTACAAAACCAGATTGGTCTATATATATTATAGCATAAATGGAGTATCTGTATACCACATTTTATTGGAATTGAGTCATTAAACTTTAAGATCGACCCAAAGCAACAATTCGGTTTCTGAGGATGTATCGAGAAATATGAAGACAATAGGAGGGAAGATAAAAGATTGTTTTTTTTTAAAAACACACAAAATATTGGTAGTACAGACAAAATGAAAGACAGAAGCATCTGGTACAACAGACTTAAAAATTACTGTATTTGTTCCATTTTCCAGAAGTGCATAAAAGCCAACATAAACAAAAAAATTGGAATTACAGCATTACAGATAATTAAAACTTCGACCATAGACACACCTCTGTCATTAGATAAGCATATGCGCTACTAATAAAGCAAATACAGTACCCTACTGAAGTATAAGCTGTTGTAGCTGTATACCGAGTGATTGGCAGGATTTTATCACACCCTACACAGGATAATGTTATATTAAATATAGATATGGGCAGCAGATGGTAACACCAATAACCATCATAATACTCCCTAGTAACAGTTCGCATCTGAAATGTTCATTTGCATGTGCATACACGTTACTGAATATGAAATGGCCTCATTTGATAAAAGGAACATGTCAATAACTACAACAATCAGTGAATAATATTATAAAATGAAAGGCAGCAGTGTTGGTTAATCCCATTTGGCAATATTTGCACTGTTGCCGAAACATTCCTTGCAGAATTAATAAATGTTACATTTGAAATGTCAATTAGAATGTTCGGTAGTATCGATGCCAAGTAATACAACTACTACAGAAAGCAAATATTGTCATGTGGTATCACTGCCTCTATTATTCATGTTTACAAATATGATTGATATGTATAAATTTTGTGGAGAAAAAAAATTCAATCCTAAAAAACGAATAAATTTGCAGACAATTTGATTCGAATATATGTCATATGATGTAAATAATTCGACTAATGCGTACATGGTGCAAAGCACTGAAAAAAAAAATTGATTTACTGATACAATTATTTTTTTGGCAACAGCTAGTAACTACTACGAGGATACCGAAAAATTATGCATGAAGACAGTACAGCGACTGACACGCAGCGAGGTCGATGCAACAGCATACTGTCTGAGTGCAAACTTTTCGGTATCCATGTAATAACCTTATTATTATACATCTTTTGCTCCCAAGGATACATCATGGGAATGCCGAAATACAAAAAGTTTAAAACAGATTAAGCGAACTTCTTTGTATGGGGTCAAACCCTGGGGGCTGCCATGTTCCATATTTCGCATTTCCTAATATGGTAAGATGAAAATACGCTGTAAAATACCGCAATAATACTGCATGCTGTAACTAATGGCGTTACAATGAGATATGTATAATAATATTATTTATAGACTGAGAATAACAGTTACATCATGGCCCTCAAAATGTGACTTTTTGGTCATAGCAGCACTTTTGTCATAGAGGGCGGGTGTCATTTCCTTTGAAGGGAAAATGCCAATAAAAAAAAGCTGCTTTTTCCGTTAAAAATTTAGTTTTTATGCCTCATGTGAGTTTATTGTGAAGGGTCAATGATGCCTTACCTGACTTTCTCTGGTGATACACCATTTGGCATTTCTTTCAAGAACCTCTTAGCATATTCTTGATGAAAAAAAAAAAAAAAAATTTAAATTACATACAAAATAGAATTTTGATAATGAATAAATTAATGCCATTCAAACTGAATTGATTACATGAATGAACACCAAACTGCAAAAGCAGGTTTTACAACTTTGATCTGTATAGAAGGAATGAAGTACTGATGGTACTGAACAGTTGAAAAACCAAAA